CAGCGTGGAGGGGGGAATGGAGGGAGTGGCTGCAGGCCTGGGGGAAGCAGAGTCCCACAGGCAGGGCACACTCCTGCCCAGCCACATCCAGCCTGGCACTGCTCTTGCTGCGGGTGCACCGCCCCTCTGGCAAGCTGAGCGCGGGTTATGGAACCTTTCCCACTGCTCCTTCCTCTGCACCAAGTGAGGTTGCTCTCCAGCTCCATGGAAAGGGAACAGCCTGAGCAGCCTCTCCCTGAGCTGCCCAGAGGGACACAGCAGCCCCGGCCCGAGCAGCAGCTCCTGCCCCACTGCCGCCCCGGGAGCTTTGCTGGCAGAGCTGGCACCCAGGACATGGCACCGAGCCCCGATGGGGCTGCAGGCCCTTGGCCAGGGGAGGAGAGAGTTGGATCATGGGTTCTTCCTGCAGGAGCAACTGGTGGATGAAGCTTGGAGCACCCACTCACACGTGGGAGCAGAAACAGGGGATAACACACTGCGCCAGTGCTTTATGCACCTAACTCAAAATAAGCTTTCTTTACAAAAAAAAATCTAAGAAGAATTCTTTCTCTCTCTCTCTCTTTTTTTTTTTTTTTTCGTTATTTTGAAGTTATAAATTATTGAAAGACTTCTCACTACTCTCCCAAATCATTCTCAGGCAAAGAAAAGGCAGTTCTACCTTCAACAGTGCCTTGTAACAAAATGAGTCACGTTCATTTTGCTCATGATTTGCCCTTGCCTCCCTTTGTCCATGTCTTTAACTACATCCTGGCTTGGTCTGATTAGCAACGTCTCCTCGGAGGCAGAGGAGGCCCTGCAAGAGCTGGAGGTATTGCAGGTCAGGATTAAAGTGCTCTGCATGCCATTCACTGTAAAAACTGTAACTGCCTTAACTCAGTGCAATTAGATGGCTCAGAGTTCACGGAGTAACGGCAGCAGTGTTTCAGTGCAGATGATTAGTACAGCCCTGGCATGAAGGGATGTGATTAAAAGGCAGTGGCAGGGCTGAGACCTGGCAGAGGAGCTCAGCAGGCAGGGTTAAACCCATTGCTTCTTCTGGGGTTGGACACCCCAGGGCCTGGAAAAGATCTCTCAAGTATCAGCTGAGCCAGCTCAGCTTTTAGGTCTGGCATGCCATCTTGTGATGGCAGTGGGGAAGTGGAAATGGCCCTTCTGTGGATTCAGAGGAGATGATGGAATTACAGAATGGGTTTGGTCAGAAGAGACCATAAAAATAACTTTATTCCTCCCCCTGCCTTTGCAGGGGCACCTTCCACTGTCCCAGGCTGCTCCAAGCCCTGTCCAACCTGGCCTTGGGCACTGCCAGGGATCCAGGGGCAGCCACAGCTGCTCTGGGCACCTGTGCCAGGGCTGCCCACCCTCACAGGGAACAATTCCCAATTCCCAATATTCCACCTAACTCTGCCCTGTATCATGATGTATGAAGCCATTCCCTGTGTCCTGTCCCTCCATCCCTTGTCCCCAGTCCCTCTCCAGCTCTCCTGGAGCCCCTTTAGGCCCTGGAAGGGGCTCTGAGGTCTCCTTGGAGCCTTCTCCTCTCCAGGTGAGCACCCCCAGCTCTCCCAGCCTGGCTCCATGGCAGAGAGACTTCAATTCTGGGAGCATCCCCTTGGCCTCCTCTGGATGTGCTCCAAAAGCTCCATGTGCTTCTGATGCTGGAGCAGCTCTGCAGGGGGATCTCAGCAGGGCAGAGTAGAGGGGGACAATCCCCTCCCTTGCCTGCTGCCCACTCCTGTACGGTGCAGCCCAGCACAGGGGGGTTTCTGGGCTGCCACTGCACATTGTTGGTTCATGTCCAGCTTTTCATCCATGATACCCTCCAAGTCCTTCTCTGCTGGTCAATGAGCTCTTCTCCCCATCTGTGCTCATATGTGGGATTGCCCTGACCTGGGTGCAGCACCTCAGAGAGTGCTGAATCTCCAAAAGAGGAAAAGGCACCATTGAGGCCATCGCTGCCCCGCCACTTCTGCGGTGTGGGAGCCGAGCAAGGCTGGTGGCACTCACAGGGCAGTGCAAGCATCAACACCCACAAGTGTCTAAATCATGGTCCCCAGCCGTGACAGAAACCAAGGGGACAAAAGTTCTTTTCACTGGAGCCTGAACTGGCTTGGCTGTGGGGCTGGGGGTGACCATCGTGGTAAGTGATGATGTCCATCCACAAATCTTTTCTTCCATAGCTTTACTGAATTTTCTTCCTCTTCCCACAGTACTACTCTGTCTTTTTCTCCAATGACTGACAGTGTGGCCAAATGGCATTAAGCTAAAATCTGATCGGTACTGAAGGATCACAGTACCAATCCTGCAGTGCCAGAGCTGGAGGTGAGCAGTGACAGGCAGGCAGTGAGCCCTGGGCACGGCTGTGTTCAGGGCTGAGGTGACAGTAAAGGATCTCTCTTGCTGCCACAGAAGCTGCAGACGTTGTTACGTGGGGGGATATCCCACTCCAGGCTTGGAGCACACGACCTGCCAGTGCAAATCTCTTGAGTGGATGCACTGTGCCAGCAGACAGTGCTCATGTCCTGGTTTAACCCATCCTGCTAATTTATGGGAGCAAAATCATTCAGATGTGATTCCTCCTTTATGCTGTAACTGAACAGCCACTCGACAGAGGTTACCCAGGCTTCTGGAGCCTGTTGAGTTGCTTTGAAGGCAAGCTGCAGGGCTCTGCTGGGATGCAGGGAGCTCAGGTGAGGCTGTGTCTAGACTAGAGGAACTCTCCTGAAGGCTAGCTGGGCTTTTGTTTCATAGTTACTCATATCTCTAATCTGGTTTGGAACAAAGCATCTCAGTCCCTTCAGGCCCACCACAACATTTGCAGGAGAAAAGAAGGATCTGTTTAGCACTCATCAAGCCAAGATGAACAACAGGGACTGCCTGCAACTGATGCAGAGAGAACGCTCCTGTGACAGAAAAGGGCTTCAGTCCCATGGCAGAGCTGCTGTTTCATCTGCTTTGATGCTTTTCACCCAAAGTTCATAAGTGATGTGCAGGCCTTTGTTTGAGGCCCCCTCCAAGGCAAGCATGCAGAGGAAAAGCTGTGCACACAGAGGGAGTCTATACTGGGAAGTGAGAGACTGGTTCTGGCACTAAGAGTTGCTGAGTTCTGGTATTTGGCATTTAGGAAGCTTTTGAAGTATCTCCCCAGTCCTGCTGAAAATGTTTTGTTAAAAGAAACAAAACATATTAATTTGGACCCCATGCTGCGCAGTGAATTAAACAGCTCCAGACTGAAGCTGTGGCTTAGGGTCTCGGCAGAGTCATCATCCATCCCAGTGTGGGCACGTCCCTTGGCCACGGGCAGTGAGATCTCCAGGAACAAGAGCACAAAATGCTCTGTGTCTGCTCTTACCTGTCTCTCCACCAGACAGCTTTTGCTGTGCTGCACTGGACATAGCTGAGAAACCTGTTCCTCACCAGGCTCATCACTGACAGGGGAAGCACCAAGCTCCTTCTGCTCAGCACCAGCCTTTCTCCCTGCATGCAGCCGTGTCCTGGGTACAACGAGCCCAGAGCTTCCCGGGACAGAGCAGGATCAGACTGAGCCGGGGAGGAGCACCCAACATCCAGGAAGAATAGCTGCCTGCCTTGGGCTGAAAATAGACCGTGAAACATTTGAAGAAGACAGGGCTGGAGTGGATGACTGCCTGAGGCAAGGCACAGCTCCAGCTGAGTTCATTGCTGAGCTCTGAGAGCATAAGCACATAAGGAGCACGGGGGAGGGATGACAGGCGTTCTGGAAAGGCCTTGAAATGTCTCACTGGAGCACAAAGCCCAGAGAAAAACTTCCTTTGAGTCGAGCCCCAGCGAGGGACGTTACAGTTTCACTGCCGTGCCCAGACCAGACATGGATGTCGGAATCTGTGGGTGTTGGTGATTCCGAGATTGTAGAAAGTCTCTGTCTTTCTGCCCCGTTGCCAAAGAAGAAGCCATAGTTCGTCTGTGCTGTTTTCAAGGTTGTTTATTTTTGCTTATCTATAACAAGTTCTGCTGCCCTGCCGCAGGTCTGTCTTGCAGGGCAGTGTGCGGGGCTCTGCCCCTCAGTGGGATGGTACAAACATTATATACCAGAAATTACGTGTACTATATTTACAATAATGTGCCAATATCTATCATCTACGTTGAACAGTGTGTCCCTAGCCTAAACCAATAGAAAAATGCCAACATCACCAAGAACATGGAGGTAAGGAAGAAGAAGGAGGAAGAACAGGTTCAGGCCCACTTTCCTCCATCTTAGAACTCCTGACCCCCCTGTACAAAGTAAAACCCCCCTGTACAGGTGTTAAAACCCCCCTGTACAATACTAAAAAATTTTCCCTCTAATTTGTGACTACTTTTACTATACCATCTAACTCTCTGTGACCGCTTGTTCCACCTTCAAAGTTGGTAATTCATTCCATGGTTCAAACTCAAAATCACAGCTGTTTTCATCTGCTTGCCAGGGTCTAAAATGCTTCTGACCAAGGCCTGGAACCTCTGAAAATGTCTGAGGGACATTTTGAGTTCCGACACATGGATACACAGAGCACTGGGCTGATGTTAAGGCATCCAGCGGGGGCCAGGGAAGGTGTGGAATTGTGCTTCTCCCAGCGAGGCACTTGGCAGCACCACAACTTTTTATCTCCTTATTTCAGGGCTGGATTTTTGTTGCTGGCAGCTGTTTCTGAGCTGACACTTCTACCTCCTGTGCCTGAAGTGGGACACATCAGGGGCAAGCAGACGCAGCTCACCAGCCCCCTGCTTCCCATAAGCTGGTGCTTGAGTTCAGTTCTCCTGGCTCCAAAGATCCTGTGTTTCCTGCTCGGGCTCTGTCAGGGATGCTGGAAGTGTCCAAGGCCAGGTTGGACGGGGATTGGAGAAACCTGGGATAGTGGAAGGTGTCCCTGCCCACGGCAAGGAGTGGGACGAGACGATCTTTAAAGTCCGTGCCAGCCCAAGCCACCCTGTGACTGGTTATCGAGGGTTTTTCCCCGCCCGGGGGAGCGGCCGAAGCGAGCGGGGCGGTGCCTGTGGGATCAGCTCGGCAGCGCGGCCGGGCCCGCTCCTCTTGCGCCTCCGCCGCCGTGAAGATGGGAGCGGCTCTGGCGGGCCGGGCTCGCTCAGCTCACCGCCATGAGGGGAGGAGCGGCTCCGGCTCCCTCGGCTCACCGCCGTGAGGGCGAGGAGCGGCTCCGGCTCCCTCGGCTCGCCGCCGTGAGGGCGAGGAGCGGCTCCGGCTCCCTCGGCTCGCCGCCGTGAGGGGAGGAGCGGCTCCGGCTCCCTCGGCTCGCCGCCGTGAGGGCGAGGAGCGGCTCTGGCGGGCCGGGCTCCCTCAGCTCACCGCCATGAGGGCGAGGAGCGGCTCCGGCTCGCTCAGCTCGCCGCCGTGAGGGCGAGGAGCGGCTCCGGCTCCCTCGGCTCGCCGCCGTGAGGGCGAGGAGCGGCTCTGGCTCCCTCAGCTCTCCGCCATGAGGGCGAGGAGCGGCTCTGGCGGGCCTAGTCCCCTCGCCATGAGGGGCCGCCGCCGCCATGAGGTGAGGGGGGAGCAGGGCACGGGTGGCGGCGGCAGCGGATGTTGCTCGGCTGTGCTGTTCAGCATTAATGTCTCAGCCTTTCGCTCGATTTGCTGGCTTTTGTCCTCTGCCACAAGCCAGGCCGCTGCTTTTGAGCGTTACGAATACAGATGGATGTGATGGATTATTTGCGATGTTCTGCTGCCCTCTCTTTAGCCCTTCAGTCGGATGGTGGATCGCGGCGGTCGGAGCCCGCCTGAAGGAGCGGCCCTGAGGGGCGTGTGACACCCCCGAGTTGTGCGGGACTGCCAAGGAGCTCTCCAGGAGGGCACCGGAGCCTGCGGAGAGGAGATGTGAAGGGATAACCTGCCCGTGAGACACGGGGAGATCTCTGGAGCCACCGGGGTGAGTTGTGACCCTGAGCCAGCGAGGGAAAATGGGCAAAAAGATTTGTTTTGCTGTCTTGAATTAACTAAAAGGCGTCTGCTGGCTCCTGTGCTAGCCTCAGCGTGGAAATGACATGGTTTATCCAGCAATAGGTTTAGTTTATCTATTACTCTTGCTGGATGAAGCCTTGATGAGAGTAGGCGGCATCAGAGAGGTGCCTCCACTTTTTTTCTGCCCTGTAAACCCTCCGGTTTTGGTTTGTTTTTTTTTTTCTCCCAGCAGAAGTCAGCTGCCCGTGGCTGCTCAGTGCCTGTGCCAGTGTTATGCTGCTGGGAGAGAAAGGTGCTGCTGAGCTTTCCTGGCACCAGTGGGGCCGTCCTGGTGCTCAGTGGTGCCAGGTTTTGGCAGCACTCTGCATGCCTGAGAGTGGAGTAACTCCTGTCCGTGGAGTTAGAGCCTAGATTGGATGCAGACAACACACAGAAAATGGAAAATTCTGTTCCGCATATTTTAATGTGCATCTTTTACATAAAAATAAATGTCAGCTAATTAACTGTTCCGTGCTAAGGGTTGAATAGGGGTTCTCTTTTCAACTGTCTTTATTGGGTTTTTATTACAGGTAAATTGTTGATGTGGGGCTTGCTGGAGCGAGCAGCAGGAGTGGTCAGAAGTAAAGCTGTCAATGCTGCTTTGAAGAATCCGTGTTTGAAAGGTATTGGGAAGATGGAAACCTGGAGCCCATAGTTTAAACAGGGCAGCTGGAGAAGAATTTGTTTTCAGAATGTGGATGTAGGAATTGGAAACATCAAAGGTGGCTTGGGGCAAGATATAACAAGAATTATGTGTTCAATTAATTGTTAATATTCTCTCATTGCTTGTTGGAAATACAATTTTAATATGATCTCAAATAAATGTATTTATATTTAAGCTTACTCAGTTTGCTTTTCATTGTCTTACAAGGCTGTTGGGTGCAGCAGGATTTGAGAGTGGTATTGAATTCTTGTGGGACACTGGAGAGGCTGTAGTGAAGCACCAGCTCTCATCCCTAGGCTGGGGGAAGTGAGCCCACAAAGGAAGGTTGGAGAAGGCTGATGAGTATGTAAAATACATCAGAACTGCTGGGGAGGGGCAGGATGACCATCAGGGATTCAGACAAAAATGGTGTTAAAATGCAAAAGTTGGAACAAAAGGAGTGTTTTGCTCTCCAAGATGAGAGTTGGATTCCTTGCAATCTTCTAGGACACCCTGTTTTTGTGAAATAATCCACATTCCATAAATGTTCTGACACTGTTAGTTTAGTCATGAGCACTTCTGCCACCTGAATATCCAGAGCTTTGAATACACACTTTTTATACTGTATATGGGAATATATAAAATATATTAAAATGTTAAAATACAACAATTGAGGAATAAAGGTTTTTCCTGGTTGAAGGCTGAGTTGTGTTGTTTCTGTAGGAACAATCCTATCTGCAAAACTAATCAAGGGTTTCCCCGTTATGTTGTGCCCAGCAATTTTCCTCTTTCCCAGGGCTAGGTGCCTGCTGCCCTAATGGTGAAGGGGGGGTGTCACTACAGGACATGAGAAAACACAACGCACACCTCTGCTCTTGTGACTGTAAAAGGAGAACCTTTTATTTCCGACTCCAACATTTATAGTTTTCCAAATGTGACAATGGATGGAGGGTGAAAGTGCCACCTCTCCAATGACACTGGACAAACTACCAGTCCAAATGTCTCCTCCTCTATGAAGTAATGCTAAACAATAAGTTATTTACAGAAAGTTGTGTGAGAAAGTTTGCTACAAGAATGTAAACTCGGAAGACTTTAGAAAATCTTAAAAAATCTGGGCAACAGGGAGGGGTCCTGCCTGCTGACAGCCAAGGAACACTGTCAGGGGGCTCTGCTGCTGGAGCAAATATTCCCAAAAGTGGCAAAAAATGGAGAATATGGGCTCTTTTCCCAATATCCCATCCATCCCTGCCCTCTGGCAGTGGGAGCCATTCCCTGTGTCCTGCCCCTCCATCCCTTGTCAATTGTCTCTCTCCAGGTTTCCTGTGGCTCCTTCAGGCCCTGCAAGGCCACCCTGAGCTCAGCCCAAAGCTTCTCCTCTGCAGGTGAACAATCCCAGCTGTGCCAGCCTTTCCTGCCAGCAGAGCTGCTCCATCCTCTGCTCATCCTGGAGCCTCCTCTGGCCTGGCTCCAGCAGCTCCAGCTCCTCCTGTGCTGGGACAGGGCTGGGGCAGCTCTGCAGCTGGGGCTCACCTGAGCACAGGGGCAGAATCCCCCCAGCCCTGCTGTGGGCTCAGCCCTGGGCTCGGGGGATTCTGGGTTCTAGGGCATGTCCAGCTTCCAGCTTTGTGCACAACTGGAAAATAAAAAATAGAGATATCCTGAAGGTTCTGCAGTGGTCAGCACAAGCACAGGCTCGGGGCTCTGGTGCTCAGGGTGTCACCTCTGGCAGGAAGGAGACAGTCAGCACTGTGCAGCTCCTTCTGCAGCACAAAGGCGATCCATAAAGGTCAGAATGATTCACCTTGGCCCTGCTCTGGTGCCTTGAGCACAGATACCAAAGGGAATTGGGAGAGAATCCATGAGGTCCAAGACTGGCCGTGAAATAAAGCCAGGAAATGGAGTAGGACCTACCTTCGTACTTGGGAAATGACAACGTGATTTATGGTTCTGTTTAGGAGCACCATACATTTTGCAATCTAAATATGACTTCTGCTAGGCAAAAGTGGCTGAACTGCTTTACATTTGCTCTGCTTTTACTGCTCTGCAGCACCACAGCACAGGATTGTTAACTGAGATTTATGGGCTTGTTTTTGAGCACTTAATTGTTTTCTTACCTTGAGCTTGTTAAGAGCTGGATTTCTTGTGATTGTTCTCTGAGCATTTTTATATTATTTCAACATGTATATTGTACTACTTCCATTTTTTAAAAATACCTTGTGTTATTGTTTCATTGTGCTCCCCAGCTATTTACAGAGAAGAAAAATTAGCCTGTGATGAATTGAAGAGGCAGATTTTTCCTTTCCCCTGGAGCTTTCCCTGAATTCATGTATATGCTTCGTAAAGCTGCTGGAGCACAGCGATTTCCAGGCTAATGGAGAAACCGGTTCTTCAGCCACAAATTAAACAGGGAAGAAAGATGTTGACTATGAAATAAATCCAAATAACGAATAGTACTTGAGGGGTTGTAGAAGTACTTTGGTCACAACTCACGGATTTCAGGAGGGCACCAGTACAGGGACCTCTCCTCATTCAGCACAAGGTGGCAATGTTGGATCAGAGGAACAGCAAAGCCTTGCACATCGACTGCAGGGCCTTTTTACCAGAATCTTCTAACGAGCCTCACAGCCAGGGAGAGCCCAGAGTTTTGAATATTTTAGCGATGGCGACACCCGCGTTGTGCTGAGGAGAGCGGCCTCGGGCAGGGCGGGGCTGGCTGCCCGTCAGAGTGCCCTGGGACACAGAGAACAGCGTGGGACCGGAGGATCCTGCGGCTATCCCGGACACGCTGGATACCGAATCCCTCGGCTCCCCCGGGCACACGCCGCGGCGGCGATGCCACTCCCCGGAAGCGGCCGAGGGCAGCCGCGAACCCGCGGCCCCGGGGCCCGCGCTCCTCCCGGGGGGCGTGGCCGCCGCCCCGCCCCGCCCCCGCGCTTTCCCATATTGCCCCGCGGGAGCGCGGACAATGAGCGGGGCGCGGGCGGCGGGCTGGCGGCGTGCGGTGCAACGGCGTTCTCGCGAGAGCACGGTGAGCGGCCCGCACCTCTCGCGAGAGCCGTACCGGCTGCGCCTCCTCCCCGTCCCCATCCCACACCCCACATCCCTCACGGCGGGCGGGGCGGGCGCAGCGGCGGGAGCGGCGCGGACTCACCGGCGATACCGGAGCTGAGCGGGGCGGCCGCCGCCGGGCACGTGAGCAGGCGGGCGGCGGGCGGGCGTGCTCTCGCGAGCGCGGCGGAGCACGCGCGGGGCTCGCGCAGCCGCTTCAGTCCCTCTCTCCTTCCCTCGGTTCCGCCGTCCGTCCGTTCCTTTCCCCCGCCGCTGGCGCCGCACCGAGCGGGAGGCGCCGCCGCGTTCCGTCCCCGCCGGCTCGCAGGTAGGAGCGGCGCCGCGCCCCCGGCCCGCCGCCATCTCGGGGTCCGGCGGCGGCCGCCCCGCCGTGAGGGGTGAGGGGGGGGGGGGCGAGGCGGGAGCGCGCGGCGGATGAGGGATGGGGCGCGCGGCCGTCACGCGCAGGCCCGGCCCGGCCGGTGCCGCGGCCCCGGGGCGCCCCCGCCCGCCGCCAGCCGGAACTGCGGGCCGAACAAAGCCCCGGCCCCGCCGCCGCTCCCCGGGCCCGCGGACAGCGGGACCCAGCTCCACCGCGCTTTCCGCTGCCTGGAGCTCTCCCCTGCCCACGCTGCTGGCGCCTGCAGGCGGCCTTGTTCCTCCCTCCTTCCTTAACTCTCTGAAGGCCGTTGGAGTCTTAAACTGCTGGTTTTGATGCCTATCTGGCCTTAAGACTTAATGAAGTGAGCAACAAGAATCCTGACTGTGCAGGCAGCCGTTTGACCTCTCTTTCTACTCAGTTTCACTTTCATATGTTTCAGGCTGTGCTTACAAATCAAGCTGCGGGGATGTTTTTTTTTCTTCCTGTGGCGGACTGATAACGTTCCGTTTCTTTAATGTACACACTCGGCTTCCAGAGTCAGAGTAATGAGATACAAAGTTCACCTATTCTGAAAACAACCAGAAGTTGAAAAGAATTTTCTGGGAGACTGAAAAACTGCTTTGTTAAATGATAAATGAGGCATTTACGCTGTTGAAAGAAAGCTGAACCATCCCTCAGATTCCAAATGTGTGCCTGCTTTTCTTTCCACGATGCAGACCGTTGGGAAAAAAGTATCTGATAGGGTTCAGACTGTTGAACAATCTATTCTTTTCTTCTCAGCCTTAAATTCTTCAGTTTTTTTGAATTGTAGGTGGTCCTGACTTCTGGGAGTCAGATAAGTAGGGAGCAGCTCTGGTCAAAAATGTAAGTTTCTTAAAGCAGTCTGTGTAGCTTTCATGGGGAGAAGAAAAGGGTGCATTTTCAGAATCTTCATTACAAAGAATCTATTGATCCAGTGGTTTAATCTTCTTATATTTTGAAGTGTTAATATTTTAAGTTTTCAATGTACTAAAACGGTAAATTACTTTTATGTGTAGTGGAACATACTAACATTTTTATTGTGTTCCCAAGAAATTAATGTACTTTTGTCTTGAAATTTGGCAAAAAAAAAACTTTACAAAATGATTTATTACTAAATTCTGAGTGAAGATACTGGCACGCAGACCTTGGACGTGTTTGTGAAGTAACAAGCTGGTGTTTGTACTTCTGCATTGTGCACTTGGTGTTGCATACATCCTGGAACTAAATGATGGGAAAAGAACCCCAGTCAAACTCCTAAATGCGTCCTTAAAATGTGGATATCCATGTTCCTGCAGATAAAAACTGGAAATGAATTAAAGAGAGGGGAAGAAGAGTCCGTGTTTGGGGCTCCAGACTGAAGTTTCATATAGCTGTTACATTATAGCTGCTTGGTTTATGCAGGACTGCAGTTAAATAAAAATACTCATTAATTGGGTGAGAAATTAGGAAAAGCTGTGTGCTGCCCTTTGCTGTGACTTGCACATGTCTCTGCTGAGAGATTTGGTGAATACAAAGGTATTTTATAATGTAATACTCAACAGGCTTCTGGGTGGCTCAGCAAATCTGGGGGAGAAGCTGTTGCAAGCAGAGCTGCAATGAAATTATTTCCATTCAGTTTGTTAATTTATGAGTGGTTTTTTTAGTGTTGCTTCCTTTCTTCATCAGCTCTGAGTCAACAAGTCTTAAAAACAAAAGCAAATACTTCACTATATTTCTGAACTCATTTAGCTTGTGAGTGTTTAAGTACCATATTGTGCGGTCATAATTTCAACAAAAGGGTTTTTATTTTGAGCACTGAACCAATGAAACAGTTCTTTGATTTTTCTCTGCAGCTAGAATACTTCTTGCAACCTCAAGTAGGATTTCAGCTGGGAAAGACCAGGATTTTATCCCAGCTCTGGAAAAGCCTGGAGGCAGATGGAAATTCAGGTTACCAGATCAGAACACAGAACTGTTCTGTGTGAGGTTTTTCTTTTCTTTTTTTGTTTTCTTTTTTTTTTTTTTCCTTTTTTTTTTTTTTAATGGTAAAAATTGGTCTGTGAATTCTTCTGGGGTTGGTATCAAAATTTTGGTGTCTGAGGGGCTGTTGGTCCCCACACCTGCTGGGAATGAAGAAGAATTGTGTCCTTGTTGTGCATAAGGACACAGTTGTGTTGCCGGAGTTTCCTAGTGAAATTCCACAGAGACTCTGGATTTGGCAGAGCCCCGCTGTTAGTGGCTCCAAGGAGATTTTTGGAGCTGCAGGAAC